TAAGTTCGCAGTTCGCAGCTGATTTGAATTGAGTTGAGCTCGCCTCGCAGGAACCTGACTGAAAGATCCCATGCAATTCCGATATCAACTTCTACCCATGAACAATTTATTTTTGAAGAACGACTTAGACTCACACCACCAAAACAAGTTTTACGAATATCGCCTGAATATACACCAAGAACCAGTTTCTTAAAGAAAAAACAACTTAAGACTCGCCTAACAAACATAAAGTGTCACGAATCCATATAGCGGTTTGGGAAGAAGACGCAGTCCTGTATTCAGCAACCAGATATAAAATATTGTTATCCTTTTTTTACACATTTGAACTTCTCGAGTTATTATTTTCTTTTCTTTTACATAGACTTGAGCGATATCACCCTTGTTCGGACTTGACTTGCATTACGGCCCGGCGACTGATTGATTTCGTCTACCTAAGATCAAATCACAACGTGGGTAGGTTAGACTAGAAATCAAAACAGTTACTTCGGTAACCAGACGTTGGAGGCGAGCTGGGAACGACAAGGCTGATACCGAATCTAACCAGATTCCCATCCGAATCAGAAAAAGGTTAAAACGTCACATGTGGTGCCGCGACCAATACCAAGTCAATATCAAGTCACATTGGTCGTCACAAGACAGGATAGGACGGCGACGGCGCGGAGACAGACAGGGTGACGTCACAGTTGGCGCCGCGACTAGGACAGCACGGCGGTCGCGGCCAGGCAGACGTCACGATTGACGCAGCGTCACCGGGGAACGTCACAACCCCAGCGACCATAACGAATTATCAGAATCGTGACGTGACATATTTCTACATACAGAAAAAAAAGTGTCGTTGAGAAAATAACGTAATACTTTCAAATCGAAAATATCGGAAAAATCACTCAACGTTTTAGATAGAAAAGGAAATTATGGAGGACGTTAAGTAAGTTTTGTTATGTTGGTTGTTTTTGGTTGTTTTCGTTTAACGGCATATCAACACTTCTATGGGCTATTTAATGCCTAAATTTAAATATTTTGTACGCAATTTTATTTTATTGGAGATAACAATGGTTTTAGAGATAAAAATTTGTTAATTAACCCATAGCTGGAGGAGAAGTGGTGGATTCAAATCGTTTCCAACGGTATTTGCGCGTAAGTGAATACAACGAATTCAACTGGAATTACAACTCGGCTCTCCGACTAACAAATTCCGAGTCACCATCCGTTACACCATCTGCACATCGAAGCTTATAGAATCTGGTATTCCAAAGCGGTGACACATCTAGGTACTGACCAGACTCAACGTTGCTTAACTTCGGTGATCGTACCAGAACCGGTCTTTCAACGTGATGTGGCTGTAAGCCTGTTATGTTGGTAATCGAAATCATTTTTCTTGGGTGAGATTATCATTTTTAAGCCGCATTCTATTATGTCTCTCTTCTAATCATTGAACACGCCAACGCACTATAATAACAGGATATCGTCGCAGTCTAGCTGGCTGGAGGTCGATACGGCAATATGTAGTATCTTTTACTCAATGCTCGAGTTACAGTAGCATACGACGAGCGTTGTTTAGTTTACGGCATGCTTGAGTGAGTATCAACAATCTCATGTCTCTATTATAGTCGTGAGTCAAAACATCGAAGTAAGAACTAAGCAACTTTTACTACCAGAATTTTTTTTTTAGAAAAGAGTTCCAACTAAGTGGGAATTTTATTAATAAATCAAGAACTTGATCACGAAAATTGTTTCTCAGGTTTACATTCTCCTCTTTTCAGACAGTGTGCGTTTTGATATTTAAAACATATTTTGAATTTACGGTGTTAGCGCATAACACATCCATAGACATGCAACCACTGAAGATGGTCTCATATGAGAATAAAAGTACTTGGAAAAATAAAAATTATTTGAAAGAAATTTTTTTCTTAAACAGTATCTATCTATATTCCGAAATGAGGCATTATGTACATTCTTTACATTCTTCGGACTATTGTCCTTATCTTTGTCGCCATGTTTATCACAACGTTTCGGCTGTTGTACGCTCCGGCCTTCTTCCGGTGATTGGAATGACAAACTGAACCCTTCATTTCGCTCGCTAACTAGGGTAGACTGTTCTAGTTCCGCGTACCATGTCTAATGGATATCAGTTATCAGTTATCTCCTGTTAATTCCCCTCTCCAAATTCTCCATTGCCTTAACCGCGTATTGAACTCTCACTCATTGGGTTCTGGCACTGGATCTAACGAACGCCTTTATCCACTGTGCCATGTGTACTTGACGTTGTCCAGTAGGTTATTTTCAAAACCAGACAATTCCTTAATCATTGGTGCTGTTTTTAAACTTTTAAAACCATAATTTTCATGTTCATACAAATGGTCCTCCTCATGAAGAAAAAAGTAAGATATATTTGTGCGTGCGTGTGTTTTGTTATATTAAAACTATTGAAAACGTGTAATGCGTTAGTCATTCAATCTCAGTTAATATAAGCTTCCATAAAGAGACTTTTTTTTTATTTAACTAGAATCTTTTTTTTTTTTTTGGAAATCCTCAGAGTTTTTAGTATTGTTGATATTATTCCTAACACATTCGTCGTGATTTACCAACTGTACGTTTCGTTCAATTTTGCAGACCAATCAATGAAATTTAAATTAGATGATTTGTTTCAAAAATGCTTTGACGAAAACCCTGCTTTGCGGTTTAATAATTACTTTAATTTAATTTGATTTTATAGGACTTTTTGGTAAACAATATTTTTTAAGAAAATCTCTTATTTTTCCTTTTGCATTTTTATCATCGATAAATTAATTCTTAGGATTTCTTACTCTTGAGTAAGCAACATATATTTGGTCATGTTTCAAATAAGCCAATATATACATGCATGCATATATATATATATATATATATATATATATATATATATATATATATATATATATATATAAGAAGAAGAGGTGCCGCAAACGTTTTTGGTTGCAATGTGGATTTCCACATTACAACCAAAAACGTTTGCGGCACCTCCTTCTTTTCTTTTTAATATACATACTTTTCTCTCGTTGGAACCACTACATTATATTTCTTTTATATATATATATATATATATATATATATATATATATATAGTTTGTGTGTGTGTGTGTGTGTGTGAGAGAGAGAGAGAGAGAGAGAGAGAGAGAGAGAGAGAGAGAGAGAAAGAGAGCCTAAATGTTTGTGAAACGTTTGACCTTGTGATTTGTTTATAGTTCGGGCAAATGCAATGGGAACTGGAAAGTGGATTCTTGCATATAAAAAACTTAAAGAAAAGATATACAAAATCAACATTGCATTTTTATTAAATAAGTATTTGTTATTTTAATGATTACATTGTTTTTAAAATTGTTCCAGTATTGTGTATGCTAAATAATAAAACTTTTAATTCTTAAAACAAAATTTAATGAAAATTTATTTTACTTAGCTATGAACACTAGTAAAATCAATTATGTTTTGCACCCCTTACCTGTTTGCACTTCTCCCGAAAATTTGGTTTCGATCGGTCAGTGTATGGCTATTTTAAAGGCTGTGACAGACCGATGGACTAATGCATCCTACAGAATTTTATATATAGATTATATGTTGACTACGTTAAAATAGAATAGCTCAAGACGTTTTAAGAACAGTAATATAAACTCTTTGAAAACAGTTCCGTGACGATGAATTGAGATGAGAGGACATTTCTACAACTGTCGAACGCAGCGTAAAACAACCAATAATACACTTCAAGACGCATTGCATCCTCACAAGAAATTCATTCTTACAATTACTCATTCCAAATAGTCACTCATTAAGAAACAGAGCAATTTCGTTACAAGTACAATGTAAAATAATCTCCATAGCGTGTAAAAGTATTCGTTTTCCATTGGAACATTTTACACAAAGATTTGGCAAGTCTCCAGAATAGCACTGCCATAATCCTTGGCTTGTATGATTGTAAAGTCGACCTGAATTTAGGTAATAATGGCACAGATAAAAATGGCACAGGTAAAAATGGCACGGTAAAAATGGCACGGGTAAAAATAGCACAAGTGGGAAAATAGGAAAAAATGGCACAAAACAAAAAAGATAAGTTTTTTTCTGCTTTTCTCTTCATGTTTTTATGCATTTCTTGGGTGCAATAGCTGCATAATGAGGAGCATGCTTTTAGTCTTTACCTGGTAGTGGATCAGTCATATCAAGACTGGTGGTCATGGTAACCTTACAAAAAGATGTTCTCTTAACACATCTCCATCTGATAGTAATTGATCTTTCAATCTGTTTTGTATGCATCAACCCTTGGAAGCAAATCTTTTCATTTCCTTTATTACTTGCTATAACTTCCATGATGGTGCTGTGACGGAGCCACTGATAACAATGGTGGGCTTGAGAGCTCCAGGACAACTGTGTTGACCATGTTTGCCGCAGTCTCGGAATATAGAATTCAGTGAAGTCCGTAAGCTGTTCAATATCCGAGGTCGGCAGTGAAGATTCAGAGAAAGTAGCGGTTGTTAAGTAATTCTTTAAGTCTTCGATATCAGGTTGGCAGTGAAGACAATTTGGGAGAAAAAAAATGGCTGCCTTTATACACGTCGCATTGAATATTTTGAGCTTTCTGATTGGTTAACCCTTCTATTGGTGAACTATAAAGTGAGTCAACTCATTTAGGCTAGCTCACTAGTAAACATATGCCCAAAAAACTGCAACAAACTGAACCAATTTATAATTCAGGATTCAATGTGACGCTTTCTAGTTGTGTTTCCTGTTCAATAATTGAACCAGAATTCCTGCAATTAAACTACTGACAACAAAACAAATGACAAGTGAACCAAATGTCAACTGGGGTCTGATTAAAGAGTTACTCATTCGATATTTATGTATTTGTTTTCAGAATTTACTGAATGAATAACGTGTGCATTACATTTTTTTTTCCTGTATGTTTTCGCTTTGTACCATTTTTTTCCTATTTTCTCAATTGGCCCTTGTCATTTTTACCTCCTGCCATTTTACCCGTGCTATTTTTACCTATGCCATTATTACTGTGTACCAGTCAGACCCACCTCTGAATCACTGTTCTTTTTATTTTAAGGGAAAATCTTTTTTTTTTCTTTAGATATCAGTTGATTAATTCTTCAAGGAACCAATTTTCTAATAAAAGTTCTTCGTTGATTACTTTATTTTCGAAAGATTTAAGACTCAGAAATTTATTTCTCATTGTACGGTAAACTGTCATGGTGAATCGAATATTTTGTGTCATGGAAAAACTGAACGATAAATAACAAAAAACAGTACTTACTTCAATCAATTTAAATCGGCTTAACTTCTAATTACCGCTTATTTATATCATTAATTTTTATATAAGTTTCAATTATCTGCATCATTTACATTATTCAGACTGTTATCCTCATCTTCATTGCCATATTCACAACTTTTAGGCCATTATACGCTCCGGTCTCTTTTGATGACTGGAATTTCGAACCGAACCTTTTATTTCATCCACTGGGGTAGATTGTTCGAATTCTTCGTGCAATGTCCCTTCCGGATATCTCAGTTCTTTTCCTTTAAGACAACTCTCCCAGTTTTTGGTTCGCCACTGCCGTGACCTGGTATTGAGTTCACAACTATCTGGATCCATTCGCTACGTCTAACCAGTGGATAAATTCATTGGTTAGATCCAGTGACAAGACCTAAAGAGTTGTGAGTTCAATACCATTCTACAAAAACTTGGAGAGTTGAATTAAAGGGAAATAACTGAAACATCCGAAAGAGCCATGACACATGAGACTAGAACAATCTACTTCGGTGGAGGAAATAATGGTTTCGGTTTGAAATTCCAATCAACTGAAGAAGGTCTGGGCCTATATCGGCTGAAACGTTGTGAATATGGCAATGAAGATGAGGATATCAGTCCCAATAATGTAAACATTGCAAGTAATCATAATACCTCATCTCAGAGATATAGACAGATACTGAATATTCAATTAATTGATATTTGCGCATATTTTTATAGATATTCAGGGAATCACCAAAACTTTTTATAAGGATTCTCAGAAACGCTGACACGTTTCCTCGACAAGCATTAAAAAAATTAAATTTCAAACTTCAGCAGCTTATAAGTTTGTTTTATGTTCTTATATAAAATTTATTGTTTTTGTTAAACTATTTTTTGTTTTTCCTGTTTGTCGCTTAACTGTTTGCTACATAAAAGCAGCCAGACTTCAAAGTAGTACAAATAAATTCGGTTATTATTTTCATGCTTTATTGAGAATGTTTTTAAAACTTAAAATATTTTTTTTTTATAATTTGTGTTAATAAGTTGTTTTCTACCATTTATTGCTCAAATTATGTGAACCGGAATGTTTTTGCAGGCTCGTTACAAATGTGCTCAGTTAAGACTGAGGGGAATTAAAATAATCTATTTGTTCCATATTATGCACATACTTTGAATTTAGTTTTATCAGATCATGCCTGGTCATAAGTAGTTTCTGCTACATTCTTTAGTTATTTAATCGTTTGCATACATTATTTTCAGTCTAGACCCTCATTGGAAGATACTATTAAAGAATGTTTCTATTTCTCTGAAATCAGAGTGCAATACAAGATGGGAATCACGGATCAATACTGTGGAACCATTGCTCTATCGCCTAAAAGAAACACTAGAAATGATCTGAGCAACCCGTAAAAAAGGTCTTCGGTAAAGAGAGATGGCATAACAGCGACTGAAGCAACATTACCGCTCGACAAGATTTCTATTTGGAACTTTGTGCTTAACATCATCGTTTGGCACAATGTTATTTTTCAAATATGCAAATTGATTCACTTGTTGCAATTTTCAGGTCTTACAGTCGATATTATAATTGTTGAGATTTATGCAATTTGCAGTGGGTTTTTTTCAAGACTATCGAAAATGGATATGCTTCGGTTTGGTAAACGGCGTATAAAATTACAGAAGGAAATGTCATTGAGGAAAGGTTTGAGCCAAAGACACAACACTAAAAATCTTTATTTGATTACGAACCCTGCGAGGAATTACAAACCGTTGAAGAACAGTTTCGTCAAGACTTCTTCATCCCTCTCTCTCTTTTTGACCAGGATTTCTCCCTAGTTGATAATCGGGTTTTACAGGCATCTCAGGAGAATGAAAAATTCAGTATCTCTTTCAGTGCCTTGAAGATTGGTTATCTGAATGAGCATGTCAAATGATTTTATGCAAAATGGGTGACATTGAACAAGACGAATTGCCTAATGCGACGAATAGATTTGCTTCCATTCTATAATCAGAATCATTCAAACAACGCTTTTATCCACCGGCCATGTATCCGGGTATAAAAATGTCGGTTGAGTTAATCCAGAAGTGACTTGATCGAAAGAGTTCTGAGTTCAATATCTGATCACAACAGAGGAAACAAAAACTTGGAGAGTTGAGTTACTGAAGAGAATTAACTGACATTGAGATATACAAACAAAGCATGGCACGTGGAATTAGAACAATCTACCCCTGCGGGCTAAATAAAGGGTTCAGTTCAAAATTCCAATTAATATCACCTGAAGAAGGATGGGGCGTACAACGGCCGACCGAATTTCGTGAATATGACAATAAAGGTGAGGACAATAGTCGAAATAATGTAAATAGTGTAAATATTATTCAAAAATGTTTTAAAATTAATTTATTAATTTAAGTTGAAGTTTAAAATAATAAATCTAATACTTATAACATTTTTTAAAAATTTCAGTCATAATGTCTATACTTTATAAAATCTATAAATCTATTTCAGCTGATGATCATAAGTACGTCAGTCTTAATGTACCCCAATGTAAAAGCTTTTATACCATGGTAGAATAAGACGTCAACTGAAATAGATCTATACCCTCCAACTATATGAGGTAATTTTGGATTTTGTTGAGGAGGCCCAACATCTAATAAATCGTTTCTCTGCTGTATGTAAAGCATTTGGTCTTACACTTAGCATAAAGAAAACTGAAGTTGTGCACCAACCTTGTCCTACTCCGAAGCAATTACGTGGTGAGAAAGAAAAACCATCAGTCTACAAATTTCCAGAGAGACCATTGAGAGTAGAAGACAAACGCCTGAACTATGTAAAGTCTTTCACCTATCTTGGTAGAAAAGTCAATTACAGTGGAACTTTAGATGATGAAATCATGCATCAGATTGCTAAGGCTAACAGTCCTTTCGGCAAACTTCGCCATCGCTTGTGGAATGAGCGGGGTATTCGACTGAATACGAAAATTCGGGTTTACAGAGCTGTTGTACTTGCCATCCGTTTGTATGGCTCAGAGTGATGGACTCCATACAGGTAACATATACGCCAGCTGGATGTTTTCCATAAACGCTGTCTGCGTGCAATCTGTGGAGTTAAGCTTCAAGATAGGTCATCTAACGTAGACCTATTTAATAGGTGCAATATTGGAGGAATCGAGACTTTTATCATACAGTTACGGTAGACTGGTCATGTCTTGAGAATGTCTGATGACAGGATACCCAAGATCCTAATGTACAGCCAGTTAGATCAAGGCTACGGGAATGTAGGACGCCCATGGCTAAGATGCAAAGACAAGCTGGAAAGCAACTTGTCAGCAGTTAATATATCACATAACATCCTTGAGCGCTTAGCTTTGGAGCAGGTAGAATAAAGATCAACGTGTTTTAGTGGACTCTGCAATTTTCAATCTGCTTGTCTGAATCATCTTCAAGAAGCGAGAGCAAGATCTAAAAGGTCAACCAATCTAACAGTGACCTCATCCCACAATCCTTACTTGCTGTAAATCACTAGCAGGTCTTAAATGTCACTTAAGATTAGCGCATAAACTTTCATAACTGAATCAGTAAGCTGGCAGATCCTCATACGTCGAAACCGACCTGAGAGTCCATTATATATATATATATATATATATATATATATATATATATATATATATATATTCTTTTGTAGGCAGCACATTTTTAAGGAAAATCTTAATTAAAAAACAAGAGATATTTTGTGCCGATTAATTTACTGCTCAGCTTTTCTAAGTGACGAATACTCCTCAGACAAGGAAGAAATTCCCTCAGAAATTTTTCGATATTCGTATCGGAAGAAAAATGCAAAAAGCACTATGGATAGTTTCCCCCCCTCCCTATCTCTCTCTCTCTCTCTCTCTCTCTGACTTGTGACAATGGACTCAGTCAACTGGGTGTATGTGTGATATAAAGAAGTTGTTTAGCTGTGACAATTATAGAACGCCGACAGAATTTAATACTGTTTTAAACTCAGAATGGCCGTTATAGCTAGAAAAAGAGACTACCTTTGAAATTTTTCTCGATTAATATTAACAGGAGCAGACAAGAAATAATTGAATTCTGGACGATTTGCTATATTTCATCCCTGCGTTTGTCATTCATTTGAGACCGGACTTCATCCCGGAATCCACAACAGGGGACTACAAAGAAAATGCGACTGGCAATGAAAAAGAAACACAACATGAGGAAAGAAAACTTGGAGAAATGAACACTCAAAAGGGATATTGAGGAAAGATAACTTGCAGAAATTAACAGAAGGAAGGCAAGAGAAAAAGTGTAGTCAAATACAAGTAAATGCACGTAAAAACAAGAAGCAGAAAGACAAAGGTGTGGTAAAGAGGCAATAATTACTTAGAGCAATAGTATGCTGTGGAAACCATGATCCTTGACGTCCTGAAAAACACAGCATATAAGAAAAAAGCATATATTGAAATTTAGGAAGTTAAAAAATATTGAAAAGGTCACTTACTTTATTGATGAGATCATTCTCTTTGGTAATGATGAAATTACTAAAGTTTAACACAGTTTTCTGTTTCGGGGTCGTATACACTCCTGCATACGAACGTTGCTGTGTATTCTTCCAGACGAAGTTGTGGACGAATATACAATAAATAAAGACGGTGAGAATACAGAACAGGACAAGTTTTTTGCTGTTGAGCATACCAATTTTTTTACAACTTGTCTTGCTGTTTCTAACACAGCAGGGAAAACAGCCTGCAAAATAAATAAAAAACAATGAGATAGTTTTAAGGTTGGCTAAATTTATAAGTTAAAGTGCTCAGTATCAAGGATAGAACATGTTTAAATATAAAAGCGAACATTGAAGTCATCAATGACGCAGCAGTCTGTTTTATGTTAAGCGGAATTTTCGGGACATCGATTGCATTTAGCATAAAACAGACTATCGACTCTGGGTTTTGACATCAATGTCCACACACACACACACATATATATGGTGTTGATTGTTAAATAAAAAGTTCTTTATTTCGCAATCAATTAATCAATATATATATATATATATGATTGATTGATTAATAGATTGCGAAATAAAGAACTCTTTATTTCGCAATCAACACAATCGTTTGTCTGACACCAGAAGCGTTGAAACAAAATGGCTATTTTTGTAGTGATGTTATAGCATGTTTATGTTATAATTTTTGAATAAATTCTATTTGCACTTTTCTGTATTGAGCAATCTTTTATGAACATTGTTTTTGGTTACTGGAATTTTATTCCGTCCACACCAATGCTATACTTATATATATATATATATATATATATATATATATATATATATGAGAGTGTGGGTATGTGTGTGTGTATGTGCCTAAATAGAAGTACTTCCAAAAAAGCGATACCTAAGTTTTAAAATGCATATTCAAAAATGAAAAATCTTTCTTGAAGTTTTTATTTTAGTTTTAATTCCAAGCTAATCGATTAAATTTAATATTCCCAATGAGCAAAATACTTTACTCTATTTCGGAATTAATTTAGATTGACTGGAATTATTTTCTTAGTGTGCAACTATCTTTAAAATCTATAAAAATTCTCAACTTAATTCTCTTTAATAAAAAAAATTCTTTCAAAAATAAAATATACTTTTCTGAAGCGGTATTTGAGAATAAGCTGTTTTAAATTTAATTAATCCTCAACTGAAACCAATATTACTTAGTTTCAGATTAGAATATTGTATAAAAGCATTTTTTGTGTGTGGTATTAACAGATTTTTGGGCAGCCTGATTTTTGGGAAATTTATGTAAGAAGGAGATAATTGTAAAAAAAATATATGACGAATACAATGTAAACGCCCTTTTCATATATTTTTTAAACTATCCAGTAATTTTTAAAATTTAAAAAATTCTAAGCAATCTATATTTTATTAAAGTTTAGACATTTTGGTTTTATAATCTTACTTGTGAAGAAATATTTCAAAATCAACAATAGATTTTAAATTTACAACAGTTAATGCTCTTATTTTTTGAAAATGTGTATGCGCGACTATATTAATAATATTGGCAGATTTAAATGTACGCAAAAAAAATTTTTTTTAAATACTGGTTGTCGCTGAATTGTAGCAATCTTTTCCATATACGTTGACTAAATACAGTTTTTATTTAATATCTATATCACTTGACTTCTACAAATTAATACAGATTTTTAAAAGATTTAAAATTTTATAAATTATTCTAAGTAAAATTTAAAATAAATATAAACAATATTTAAACAAATTCATTATGCATAGAAATTTTTTTTGTAAGATAGTTGTGGCCAGAATTAAGTAATATCTCTTTCTAATTAAATAATAACTTAGTGTTATTGCGTTTTTTTATTTTAAAATTCACAGCAGATTTTCTCTAACATTTGATGATTTGAATTCGCCGAAGACTTGTTCTTATGACTAATATAAACATTAAGCGCTACAAAAACATTTTCTCGAAATTTCATAAAATTAAGTAGTTGAGAGGTAACAGACGTAAAAAAAAGAATGTTTACTATCAAGTTTTTCCAATAAAGAAACTTTTAAAAAATAATTGAATTCATTTCTAAATAAATACTGAACGTTTAATTAAAATCAGACAATTATCTTATTTTTGCAAATCAATGTATTTTTCACTGCAAAAAGATACTCAAATTTTCCTGTGTAAACTTTGGTCCCACGTTAATGCCAAAAAAACAAAACAAAAAAAAACAAGATTTTTGCCAAAATTCCGAAAGTTCTAAAAAGGATTAAAAAATAATTTTTACATCTAAACATCCTTCAGTTGCATCACTGTTATAAAATAGGCTTCACTATTAGCGGGGATTTTTAGAATCTGCCTACAGTAGACAACAGTAGATCGGATTTTCTTTTTCAGTATACACTGTGTGACCGTGAGGGTGTTTGTGCGCATGCGCAAGAATGCGCACACACATAGTAAGATTAACCTATTTTTCGGAGAAGTTGGAGGAAACAAAAAAAAAAAAAAGAAAGAATACCACACTTTCACTTCTTTGCGAGTGGGTGTAAACTCAATTTGTCACTGTGAAAAGTGAGTTTATTTCATTTTATTTGCTTGGATTCATTATACATGTATTTATAGCTTAAAGAAAGAAACATATGGGGAGCATACGCTGAGCACTTAAACATAAACCGCGTAGACTAACAAAAGGTTATAGCTCAATAATGATAACGCCACCTCCCGAAGCCCAGATAAATGTTAAGCTTTGCCCGAGAAAACATTGTGAGGAATAAGACAGAAGAATAGATGTCGGTAATCGTTCAGTATAACGAAGCAACAAGATATTTCCAAATTTCCACAGCTGGAGGACAGACCGAACCGTCATTTCGTTCGTCCTATTTCAATTGTTAGTTTTCAAAATCATTCCACGACAAGCCAGACGAAAAAGCTACTAAGACGCAAGATATTGTGTATATTTATTGCATCAAAGATACAATTTTGGCATAAGGCCGAAAAGGATAATTTGCTAAGCGTAGCTATGATGTAAAATAAGGCCGAAATTGTGGAGTAACCCAGTGAGGATAGAACTCACTACTCTAGCAAGACAAGCTTGTTAAACATTACACCACGTGGAAGTGACCAAACGCAAGATATTACTGAGAGTGAAAGAAACTGATAAAACGTTATTGAGAGAGAAAGAGAGAGAGAGAGAGAACAAGATGGTGACTGACATTGAGAGATAAGCAAGAAAGCGAAAGAGAGTTCCACAAGCGAGAAGTGCGAGAGAAAAAAAAACATTAGCATATAAAATACGCTTACACTTAGCAAATTCAACAGTAAAGGAATGGGACCTAGCTGCCAATCTAGTACTGCGCTTAAATTCGTGATGTCAAGGTACTAAATATGACAGCTCATTAGTACAGTTAGGTGGTAAAATCAGCTTGGTTGCGTTTTGAATAGTTAAAATAAATAAGTTGTTTAAAGAGCAACGGGAATATTGAGGCAGTTCCCTGCATGCTTCAGTTTCAAAGTTACTACTTTGGACTGCAAAATGGACGATATTTGGAAAGTCATGCACTCCTCAATTTCAAGTTTGTTTTTTTTTTCTTTTGTTGTTTTCTTTTTAATTTTATTACTGGTTTGAATTAACACAGCTTATATTATAAAGAAGCCTAAAAGGTAGAAAATAGCTAAAATGAAGTAGCCCTCTGCTTTCAAAATTGACCCGTATAGCCGAAGTAATAAAATTAAAAATTTAATGTTGCTAGGTTTCGAAAAATGTTCTCTAAAGTTGCAAGCATCAAAATTCAAAATTTACTTCTTAGTAGATCTTTGGGACGATGTATTCAAATATATTAAAAGGAATTAAGATTAAAAAGCAATACATACATACATACATACATACATACATACATATATATTTATATAATCCGGCCGGCTACGACTAACAGTTTCAGAATATTTGAATCTGATGAGATATTTTAATATTACATCATCGCAAAAATGACAGAAGTGGCTGAACAATTTTACAGCATCGTGTTCGGTAAATTATGTTGTAGTCAGTATAAATGGAAATATATAAATGAAGATGAAAATGTTTTTCTTTTGGTTTTAAAGATTTGTTAATTATTTTGACTATCATTAATTTAACCTGTCACAGCCAACCGTCCTATTTTGGGGAATGTGTGAATTCATGGTTTATGAGTATAAACCTTATAATTAGTGCTGGATTTCTTTAGAAACCAATAATTGATACTGGAATTTTTTAGAAACCTCTAACTGATACTGGATCTCTTTAGAAATCGATAATTGATACTGGAATTTAGAAACCGATAACTGAGACTGGATCTCGTTAAAAACTATAATTGATATTGGATCTATTTAGAAATCTATAATTGATATTTAGAAAAACATGATTGATATTGGCTCTCTTTAAAAATCTATAATTGATATTAGATCTCTGTAGAAATCTATAATTGATGCTGGCTCTCTTTAAAAAGCTATAATTGATATTGGATCTCTATAGAAATCTATAATTGATATTAGATCTCTATAGAAATCTATAATTGATATTGAATTTTTTTACAAACCGGTATTGGATCTCTATAGAGATCTATAAATGATACTAGATTTTTTTACAAACCGATAATTAATACTGGATTTCTCTACAAACCAATAATTGATGAGAGTTTTATTTTTATATGTAATTCCAGATTTTACAGTGGGCATTATCAGGTTAAACTTTCTCGGCTTAAATTAATTTTATTTACAGGAAGTTTTGAAATATTTTTACATTTTATGGTATTTCTCCTTAGTTTATTCTCAATCTTGATTAATATCGAATCTTCATTCCGCTTGTTTCTACATAATTAAGTTAGTTTATTACTTGTTTCGCATACTTTTCGCTCTGTAATAGTTTGCCTATCCATTGCCTTCAAATTTAGCTTCGTTTTTCCCTGCCCGCAAATCCTTGCTATAGCGAAGTAAATCTCTAACCATTTTTTTGAATCCGGCAAATCTCATTCTGGGCTGCGTTGAAGCTGTATATGAGTCTATTTATATCTAGAAAGAAAGAAAGAGAAAAAGAAAAAAAGAAGAGAGACGAATCCTTCGTGCGTGTAACGTCTTCTTCAGTGAAATGGTATAGTAATATGAAATATACCAGTCCGAAATCATTAGTTTCTGTAATAAAATTTAGTAAAAACTTCAACGGGTGCCGCCCAACTTGTATAAAGGAAATAGAAGTAAAAAAAAAAAATATTTCTACTCACGCAT